GTGTGCGTGCGTGTGTGCGTGTGTGTCTCCATTATGCATCCATGCATGCAACGAACTCATGAAAGCTTGGGAGTTGACCCACACTGTAAATCACTGTGACACTGCGGCTTAAACACACGCCTACACGTGTTGGCCAGCTCAAAGCTTCGGAACCACACAGGCCTTGCATGCAGCCTCCACTGCCGGCAACAATGGAACAAACGCTGCTGGTGGCTCCGGTACATTATGACCACGGCACGCCAGGATCACAAGCCTAGGTATCTCAGCTGGTCTCTACTTGTTGGGTCTGTTGGATGACATCGGCAGGCACATTCGGAATGAGCGGCTCAGAATACTTGTTGATGTTGGTCGGGGCATCCTGTCCACCGAGATCCCACATCGACGCAGGTCACCAACAAGCCTCCTGGACCTTGGCGCCGATAGCACTGCTGCGAAACCAGCCAATGGCCTTAGCGCATACAGCTCGACGAAACAGTTGCAATATGTGCTCCCCCTCAGGACTTCATGGCGACATCTATCCTCTGCAGTACAGGAACCCCTGCAAGTTCCGCAAATATTGCCCAGCAGCAGAGATGCCATGAAGCCTGCTCCCGTGAGCTACGAGACGGATTGGCACACCAAGTTCTCGGCCGTCCAGGACATCTTTGACTGGTGTATGACGCATCATGGCATAATCATGTCACAGATTCGCATGCATGTCTGCGTGTGTTGCCGGCCACGTGACGTTGCTGCCTCCATCCGCTGCTCCACCAGTCAACGGCTGGCTTTTGGTTCAAGGCACCACTACGACCGTGTGGGCAGCGTGCACAAGCTCGTTTCCTTTAGAATCTGGAAGCGACTTCAACTCAGGCCTCAAACAATCTCACATTCTGACCATCGAACGTTCCAACTGACAGAAGCCATAGGAGCTCACAGCATTTGATGCAGGCATACGGCATACCCACCAAATTGCGCTGAGAATCTTTCCAAGCCCTCCATGAACTGGACATCCTGGGACGCTCTTCATCTTACGCAGGGCGGCATGGAGTGACCCTCTCACTGGACAACAAGCTCCTAAGTTGATGCTGTGGTCGGGAGTTCTTCTTTGATTTGGGGTAAGAGTCAGCGGCAGTCCCCCTGACCCACGGACATAGCAGTTGAGCTGGAGAAAGTCATCGGATGCACGCTGCGTACCGGCTCTGGCGTGTAAGGCTTGTGGTAACAAAGTAAAAAGCAATAGGAGTGAAAAACATGCCTCAACTACCAGCCCCGCAGTCCTTATGTCTGCTGCGGGGGCACGACTTTGAAGGTACGAGGAACTGAAAGCGGGCCTGATGCAGAAGTACCGAAGCTACGGCATCACTCGGTCACCTTTTTTGGTCGGTTCAAGGCGGCTCCCGCGTCTGCATGCAAGGTTGAAAACTGGGTGGCTTTGCGCCGTTGTTCTCGTGCAGTTGGTGTCAAGTTTTGACTTTGTGAGCCAGGCTGGTGCCTGCTTGGTGCTGGGTGCCCCATCTGCTTCTTGTTCGGGCTGAAGTCCATGATGTCCCAGAACGTGGTGTCCGACTCTGGATCTCCAGTCCAGAGCACGCCCAAAAGGCTAGTCGCAGCTAGAGGGTCTAGCACAGGTAACATGTGAGGCTCAGCCCTTCAGCCCCCTCACGAAAACGAGACAACAAGCCACCCCTCAAGCAGCAGGCGATGCCGACAGATGGCAGGCACACACCTCTGCCTTCACCTCCGCGGCCCACTCACCACGCAAACAACAAACCTCAACTACCACTCCATCCTTACGAACCACCTGAAAACTGGTTTTGCATGCATCTTTACACGAACTGACTGTTGCAGGCTTGCCTTCCACCAGCAGACGCACATAGAACGTCCGCGGCATCCTATCGGTCACCGCTCAATGCCGCATGCACCCAATCATCACGCCGCCTCAACGTACTAAGATACTAAGCTTCGCCGTCAACGGTCAGGCACCAAATTTCTTGACCCGTGAAGGTGCCCTGCAGATGTACCCAGCCCTGACCCAGGTACGCATCAGTTTCATGTTGCCATGTGACCTCGCCAAGCCGTTCGGCGCAAAGCCCACAGCATACTCAGCACACAACTGGCGATCAGAAGCTCTAGAAGGGTGGATACCGTGTCTATGGTTGAGAGTTTTTGCTACATGCATTTCTAGACCATTGGGTGGGTCGAGCCGCGGCTTGTTTACGGCCCTCAGCTGTCAAGGTCTAACCTCAGAACCCTGATTCATGAGGCCCAGCGTCATGCGGGCCCTCGGTGTCAGGGACCGGCTGGCGCAGCCAGGCCACGCTGAAGCGATGGCAATTCCAGGGACATGCAAGCTCAGACGACCATCGGCCTGCTGAAGACATGGCTGAAGCCAAACCTGCAGACTCTTACAACCCGTGAGCAGTTTCAATCTGTGCGTGTCACAGAACATCGGGAGAGTTAGCAGCTTCAGCACAGGTGCTCCAGATCTTCTCCCTTCGGCTTGGCATCCAGTTCGGGATCTCGCGAAGTAAGATCAACCCAGCGGAAGGTCCTCAAGGCATCCGAGGGAAATCTCCTTCCCGTGCCAGGAAGCTGGAAAAGGACCGGAGCCTTCAAGCCTTTTCAGCATTCCCCTCGCGGCCGTGCAGCTGATTCATCAGAGATACGGTGTGCCAAGTTTGCAGGGCGGCTGCACCAGTTCCTGAACGATTCAGCAACCCAACATGGATCTTTCCAGGCTCCGTGCGATGCGACGCGTCCAGACGCCACATCATCGGAACTGAGCAGCTGTCCATCTGCTGCACAAGCCAAGAGGAGTTCTCGGTGCATGACTTCCAAATAATCTTCAGTGTACCTGCTCCACAAATTGGGAATCGGACCACTGAACCACAGACAGCATAATGGGCCTGCTAGCCGTGCAAGACCCAAACCGAAAAAAAGCAAGACAATATCAGGCAAGCGGTGCTGTTAATCGACGGGAAAGGCGCAAGCATCCATCTTCAAAGACGGCGAGAGCAAAGCCACGCGACATCCTGGGCATCTGGCTAACTCGCGGCTAGCATTGTGTTTGCGTCACTATTATGCAGAGTCCTCTGGAATTTCGCTCTGGCCTCTCTTTTGCTTGCTAGCTTGCTTGCTTGCTTGCTTGCTTGCTTGCTTGCTTTCTTCGGGCCCTCAGGGTGCCCCTCCGCGCAAACGGGTCCGGTGCTGCCGCAGGGCAACGTCGGCGGGCTATGTCAAGAACAAGAAACACTTGTCGCGCAATCAAAACATTGAAGTCTCTCTCTCTCTCTCTCTCTCTCTCGCTCTTTCTGCATCTGATCTGGCCGCACCGGCAAGACTGCCGGTCTGCTTCAGTCTTGTCCCAATGCAGTCGCGTGGGATTGACTTGGTTTCCGTCACAGGAAATCGCAGTGTGGCCATGCTGTATAACATTGACATCGGCCTACAGTTCTTGTGCACGTGATCTACCGCAGTCTGGGCCAAGACCAACCAGATAAGTTCGGCCGTTTGGCACGTTGATTCGGCGTTGCCCCGTTACATATCCCTGCGCGGCAAAAGTCCGGGCCAAGCCGCATGCAAGCGATGTTCCTCTTGAAGCCTTTGGTCCAACCCTCTCGCCGCACCTGTCTGGGAGTCTCCGGTTCCATCATGTGCTAAGGCACGAAAACTGCATGCAGCTGAAGATGTCCTCGGTGCGATGAGGTCGCCCACGTCCCCACCTGTAGCTGAAGGTCAACAGCCTACATCGCACGAGGATGGCCTTGCAGTTGAAAGGCCCGACTTGCAATCAAACTAGCGCTTCAGACATCTTCAGACCGGGTGCTCCGTCAGTTCTCTCGGATCGTCAGAACACAGAACCTCGGAACAGGCAAGATTCGCGTCTGCCAGCTGTGTGAGCTACTTCAGATCTGTCAAATGTCCGTTACGCCGGATATTGCAGAAGGCTCAAGAAACTCTAACTCTCCATGCTTCACTACATACTACTCGTGGGGCGGTTCCGCATGCTTCGTTCTCCTGCTTGCGCTGCAGATGCTACTCGGATGTGCCGCTGGGATGCTGCCGCCATGACATCGGCTCCAGCTTCCTCTGCAGTGCAACGAAAGTGTGAGAGCCGGGAGCCGGGATATGATGACTGCATCAAATACGGCACGATGCTGCACTGGCCAGTCCTCCTGCAGTCGAGGAGAGCCTGGTCGGGCACACTTTTCGTCCTGCAGGAGTGGCAACATACGCTTTGGATCGGGATCGACCTTGTCTCATTTCCTGGAAGAAGTAGTAGAGCACCCTGGGATCATCCGCTTTCCGCTCTAACATGAACAGAGAAGGCTCCTGGGCAGTGCAAACACAGAAATACAAACAAATGTTATTCATACGATAATGTACGACCGAGATGATGAGACTCGATCGTAGCTACTACACAACATGCCGGTGACCGTCCATGACAGTCGAGAGCAAAGTCGCAACACCCGGACCACACTCGGACCTCAAAAGTCCGATCTTCGAATCCGCATTTGTTCCTTGTGGCGATCTTGCCGCATGGGTGGATGGGGAATCTCCACGGAGATTGCGCTCCACGGCTACATCACGCCACTACGTGCCCCAAAGGTGACCCCGTCGAAGGCCCCCAGGAGACGCTGCGAATTGTCGCACGACGAAACTTTTAAAGCATCTAAACGTTCACGGCGTGCTTCGGCATGCCCTCTTCCCGTGTGACATTTGCGACTGCCAAAGCTTTAGCTGAACATCGGTTCGAAAGTTCACCTTCGACTGTAGTCTTAATCTGGTTAGTTAACGGCTACAGTAGTTGGAACAGAAAGGCGCAGTGGTCCAACCCGCTTTGCAAGTCACAGTGTGTGCTTTGCAAAACCTTTTAGATGGGCGTGCGTCGGGCGACTGAGCGGTTTTCGGTTGCAAGGGGCATTTCTTGTTTCGAGTAGTAGGAATCCACTTTGATGTGCACTTGCCGAGTTTGAGGTTGTGCTTTCCTGCGCACCGATGGAACTTAGCCGGAGCTTGGTGAGGAGGAGTCGCGGACCGAGTGCGCGCAGTGTGGATATCAACATTATCAACAAGGCTCGTGGATCTGCCATTTTGGAGACTCTTGATCTACATTGTCTGGAGGGTTGTTGCTTTGCTGAGACGGATGTACATCTGTTGAGCCGGATGTACACGTGCCTTCTGGTTTTGCTGGCTTTTCGCATGCTTCGGAGAAAGACTACACTCGTGAGATGTTTTGAGAATTGCCGCTTCCTGTGAGACTGAGGAGTGTTCTGAGAGGATGAACTGGATTATGTGCAAAGGTTCGGTTAATTGTCCATCAGACCCGCGGCTTGCGTCGGGAATGTCTGCATGCACATGTCGTGCTCAGAGGGGGAATCACATCGCACCCTCGCCGGCGCACCAGCCACCTTATACGACCCGAGCAAACGACTGCGAGACAGGCCAGCACCCGCACAAGCTAAGAACCGCTTGAAAGGCTTGACTCTCCGATCCTCCCTGCAGTGACCAGCCAAGAGTCCGATCCTGTGTCGACAACGATAAGCTCTCGTGGCTCATAGCTTTGTCGGCGGAAGTTCTCGTAGAGAAGTGGATGGAATGCATGCCTGAACTGAGGACTTCTGTTCAAGGGATACCGCGCCTCTCTGTGACCGCGCCTGCCCTGGGTCGTTACAGAGATCACAGATATCAGCTCGTTGGTCACGAGATGGCCTGCACTTATCGGATGCAGAAACTGCATGGTACGCAGCTGGGAGAGCGAAATCACAGCCAAGCTGCCAGGGGGCTCATGTTCCGCCAGTTCTGGATGATCGCCTAATGCAACATGCAGCCGAAGACACAGCCTCGGCACCACCAGAGACCAAGATGACACTATCTAAGGCAAGCCAAGAGGCCAAGGTCGAATGTCCCTCCGGATGCAACCTGTGGGGCAAATAAGCATGCCGTCACTCGACAGCTACGGGGCAGACCGGCTTGCATTAGTTTGCCGGCACCCACAAAGCCGCAGCGGCCGGCTCCCAGTGCTGCACACGGGTTGGCAAAGAGCGGAGTCCTCCCGCGCGCGCGCGCGCGCGGCCAATCGAGAGCCAGAGGACGGTCGGGTGATAGAAAAAAAGTGCAAAGCTCCGCGCTCCGACCTGCGGGTCCGCGGCTGCCCCTTCCTGCCCTCAAGCGCCGTAGCCAGGTCACGGCGTCCTCGTGCCTCGCTTCCACGCTGAACATGCGTTGAGCTGCGATGCTGCCGGCAAATTCCTGAAAATCCCTCGAGATACGCCAAGGCGCCACCCTTTCAAGCTGCGGTGCTCACATGCCGGACGCCCACAGTTTGCGCAGTTCTGCATCCGTGCAGATGGTGACAACAGGCATGGCAGTGCCAATTCTGTCGCACAGCTCTCAAGATGCCAGCATACAAAGGACGGACATCGGATGTCAATTTCGACAAGTGTACTGTGTGAAAACAATGCAAAGGCCTCCTCGGCCGAGCCAGGCACGGTGTGTGGCTGGTGGTCCTGCCCAAGCTGGACAAGCCTGACAGCTACAGGCGAGGTCAAACTTCCCGAACTGTGCCATGGGATGCATCGCAACATGCATGTAGATGCAGATGCCTACGTGCATGTTACGCCCCACTCGCAGCCACGGGCAGATACGTGTACACGTGAATATGCAGATCTATGGCCTTTGCGTGCAAACACACAAACGTGCATCACTTCTACACACATTGACCAGCGGATAGGTAGTTACTGATGACATGATGGGAATCGCACAGGCCCTCAGCTAGAGGAGGCAGTGAAACACGGGACGCCAACAGAGAAAGAGAGAAAATACAGCTGAACACACAAGCATCGTGAGATGTCCATTTCCAGAGCGTTATACAGCTGCTTTTCTGGTCTGACTGTTTGTTACATTTTTGTTACGTGCACGCACACGTTACCCAGTCTGAGTGGGCAAGCTCCGCAAGCTAAGTATGGCAGCGAAGCACAGCCTGGCTGCCGAGGCCGCCGGCTTGTAGCTCCCACAAGAAGCCTTGGCCAGAAGTTGACACCGGCTCTTAGTGTCGTAAATCACTGATGAAGCTGCGACCCAGCATCGACTTTGCAAGAGCCTCTCGGAACTCCCAGGGCATCATAGTACATGGCAGGAGCATCAGCCGCAGGCATCTGACCCTTGCGATTGGGCAAGCATCCGCACGACAGCGCTCCGCTTGTTTGAGAGTCTAAGACTGCTAGAACTACCAGTCCATAAACCAGGTGCACAAGCACGCATCGGGATGGGAGATGTCTTGCGCTTGCTCTATGTCGTGAGCTGGATTCAGGTGATTGCATAGCGTCACTACATTCGAACGGTGTCTCCAGCCACCATGCGAGCCAAGACATGACGGCCCGTCTGTAAGTACACATCGCTCATGTGAAGTGCTGGATAAAAAGGGCTCATCCGTCATCGCCTGCGTCCACTTCTGCGTGATCTTTACTTCGGCTGATGAAAAAGCAAGGTCACAACAACATGGCCCAGCCTGTCGCTGACAAAGTTATTCACGAAAAGACAACGTGTGACCACCTGGTAAAACGCAGTGTGGGATCGCACCCCAAGGTAGCAAAGGTTTCCCCCACGAGAGAAGCGGATGGTCTGGCCATCAGTGAAGCCCTCAGACACCTGCTGGCGCAAAAGCATGGGTAGCGGCATAGATGATTCCTTTCTTCGAACAACGGGGGATCGTGCTCTTTGACCCATTCCTGACAGGACTGGACCTGAGAAGTTGGGAAGTAGTCGTCCACCACCAAATCAATCCACCTGGGGACATCCAGCATGATCTAGCTCTCGAGGTGTGAAAATAAGCATGCATGGCACTCGCACTCCTAGAAACCAAGCAATTTAACCACAAGCTGAGTGCCACGACTCGCCAGCATGGCAAAGGCGAAGCTGGTAGACACCATGCGGGTTCACATCCTGTCCGAGGTCGAAGCAAGACTGGTGAAGCTCAATTGTTTGCGAGATATCTGAAGCACTGCGTCGGATGCACGCTATGCAAACTCGAACTTTTTGCGCTCGCCAGCTTCCTTTGCCTGCCGAGGCCTGCGCGCAAAAGAGGATGCGGTGTGACCCAGTATGACTGCTCTGCCAGGGTGCAAGCAGTGAGCCGGTGGCCAGCTTTATCGTATGTTCTGTCAACCACTGCTATCTGCTATCGACATTGACATGTCATGGTGTTGGAGGCGCACTGAAATGGCCTGCCTGCGCGTCACTGCTGTCGACAGTTTTCGCGGCAACTCTCCACATCAGGAACCGCTGCCTAGCAACATGCCGTAGGCCGTGCATGCTCTCAGCGATTCCCTCAACCACATCTTTTATCAGCTGCATGCAAACTAGATGGTTGCTCGAATGCTAGATGCCTGTGCTCGTCCCCACTGACTTGCCATGTTTTGAGCGGTTCGCGACGCCCCTAAACAACCCTGGCTGGTGTCAGCTGGCTCTACCTGCCCTCCAGTGGTGATTCATCTTGCGACTGCATGCCTCAAGAGCTGCACGACTTATACTTGCACAGACTTGCACTGCAAACCCGTGCAAACCTGTGACTTGCTGCGCCTCTGTACAGGAGTCCAGCCGCCGCTTCGCATAATCCAGCAGGTTAGACCTTGATCCGATTCGTCCGAGCCACTACAGCTAAAACCGGCATGACCGACAGCCACAAACTGGATTGGAGGGAGGTAGTCACAAATATCAATAAAAATGTGTATATGTATACATAATACACACACACACATACATACATACATACATACATACATACATACATACATACATACTTACATACATACATACATACAGACAGACAGACAGACAGACAGACAGAGACAGACAGACAGACAGACAGACAGACAGACAGACAGACAGACAGACTGAGCGACTGACTGACTGACTGACTGACTGACTGACTGACTGACTGACTGACTGACACACACACATACATACACACTTACTACATACTTACCGACCTACATACGCACATATCTGCCTACATACAGACTTGCGTGCGTACTTACCTACATGCGTACGACAAGAGGCACAGACTGCGCAGAAAATGATCACACAAAGCACGTAAAATAAAGACACGAAGCGCGTCCTTACATGAGTGGAGTTTTATTCAGGTTTTCTTCATGTTGCTTTCAGAATTTGAATCTGAGATGTCACACTCTGTCTGCGGAGTGACGGCTCTAACGCTGCAAGAACTCTAGCCTGGTCTGCCCTTCGAGCTCCCTGAGAACGCACGCGAGGGCATGATGCTGCGCTGCAGCCAAGCTGCACCTCGTGCCTCATGGCGTTGGGCAAAATAATGCCATCCTTGCCGCCCGATGCTCTACCTGGCAAGCATCACGAAGGCCAGGCGAACAGATTGCACTGCCATGCACTGCCTGACAATGCCGTCTCCAGGGCAGCCATGGCCTAAAAGCGCGAAGGCGCAAGCCACAAGCTTCTTCTTGATAGTCGAAAAAACCGCATCCTTGGCACTCGGGCTCGGGCCTCTTTGGCCCGACTGGCACTCGGGGCCATGCCAAGCACCGCACAGCCTCGTGGGTGCCCCGCATCACCAGGGGACAAGGACGACACCGCTACGCTACACGTACCGTGCCATCCGTGCCTCGGCGATAGTAAGCCTTACCATTTGTTGGGTCCTTGGGAGGGAGTGCGCCCATGTCCCTAGTGACCGTAGGCCTGGCGGAAGCGCTAGGTGCCTGGCGAGCTCAATTGCCTTGGCCGCATCCATGTTGGCTCTCATGGCATAGCGCCGGGCCTCTTGGCCAATCGCAGCGTCCTCCACTCCACATACTCCACCACGTCAAAAACTATGCAAGTCCTTCGTAGTTACGATCACGTTATGTCCTCGCCATGAATCTCCCGACACAGCATTATGAAGCACTGCGCCCGGTTGTTGAAGAGCACCTGGACGTCCCAGTCTGACAGTTCAGCCCCCCCTCCTTGAGCATCCTGCATGTGAGACACCCTTGACTGTCTGCACAGAGTTTCCTTCTAAAATCCAACACAGGTGCTTTCGGGCCCTCGGTGCTGCATGAATCACACTGTCATCTTGAATGAACTGTTGCGCGGCGAGCAGCGGCCATATACTTTGGGTCCTCGGGGATCTCGCCTAAGCCGTTCAGGTTCTTAGAAACCACGCGAACCAAATGTGTACCATGGCGCACTGGTGAGTGGATGATGTGGCCACACGCCGTCGCGAATGTAAACGCTGCAAACACACACTGAGCTGCCAGCCTGAGTCGTCCTGATCTGTCTGAAAGAATCCGTGGAATCTCTACAGCACTACCTGGTTACCATGTCTTGCGCGCTGTTGCACACACAAAGGGCGATGACATGATAAAGAAGCTTGAGCGACTTTAGCCTCTAGGCCACCACAATCTGTGATGCCCGCGAAAATGTTGATGCCTTCTCTGCCGTTTCCAATGCTGCCGAGTAGAAGGCAATTGCCTCACAGCATCGCCGACTGAAGCCTTGCAAATGTAACTGCAATGCACAAAGCAACCCTGCGGCCTCCTCCAGCTGAGAGGCTTTGAAACACTCGTTACCACGCCTGGAAGGGCGAAGCTATGGTGTGGCAGCAAAGATAGATATCCACAATGCCACGACGACTCCAATGTGCCCAGCGCTGCTCTGGAAGGCTTGTGCCCAGCAGTTATCCTTGCATGCCGCGCAGAAGGGTCACTTTCCTGTGCAAGATGGAACTCGATATTTTTGTCTTCCGAATCGCAGTGAGCTGCTTCTTCCCACGTCGCATATCATTTTCGCTTGTGTTTCAGCGGAGGTGTGCCTTTACGAGCAGCAGTCTGCGAAGTGACTCGGACGAGTCCACGCCGCTTCGTTGCTTCAATGAACTGCAAGCTTTTGAACTTCGGACGCCACCTCACATTCTGTGTGATGTACTGTATGTGCTCCCCCACCCCGGTTTTCCAAGCCCCGGCGTCAACGAATAGCAACGAAACGTATGATGGGCAGCTTCTTGGGTAGACTTTCCCCGTCTTGAGCACCGGGAGGGGTCCCGGCGACACTGTGAGAACGTCAGCACGTCTGTCTGCCAAGCGACTCCTTGAGCTCGGCCACGGTGAGTCCAGGGGCTACAACGGGCGGAACAAACGCCGTGAGATTGGCCTCCGACCACACCCATACTTGACACACGACAGTTTTCGATGCCAGACACGGCAAAGCACATCCTTGGAGAGGCACCTCCTTCAGCCGCTTCGTGCCGCCACCATCGCCACGCACCTCCACCTGAAAGGCTTCAAACACGAGTCTGGAATAGCAAACTGGCGAAGTTGCATCTGGGCCTGTGCTCGAACACTACAGTACGTGGCACGTGGGTACAACTACAACAGCTCTGGTGCCCGTGGTGGAATAAATGATCTGCGCAAGCTTTGCAATGCTCTAGCCTTTGTTGGCTCGCAAGGTCCAACACGAAACGGAACGCCTCCCAGCGCTCTGCATGCACATCGAACTTCTGCAGCCGCCCAAGCCTGAAAAACTGACAATTGTGGTCTCAAGTGCCGCTCAAGATTCGTTCCGTATGTATTCCGCTTCATGGTGTGCTTTGTACGAGGTGCTAGTAGCCGGCTGGATTGCAGTGACCGGTACAACTGTGACATGCTGTAGATGTCCATGCACATGTAAGCATGACCTCATTACTCAATACACCCTGCGACCCTGTGACTTTGTTTAGGTTCCGGGTTGCAGTCAAGCCCGCAAAGTTCAACTCGTTGGTCCAAGAAGTGCATCGGAATGATGGCAAGTTTTGGCAAAGAACTCGCTCAGGCCTTCCGTTCAGCTCCGGTGCGCTTTGTAAGCCTTGCAGCTGAACCTAGGCCCAAGTCTCGAAGAAGTCATTCCACTGTACGCAGGCGGACTATCAAGTCAACTCGGGGCAACATCCTGCTTCCCGATGCTTCGTCACTGGGCTCTGCACAAGCTGCTTGACCTTCCAAGGTCCATGCTCCTGGCCCAACTTTCATCTGTCCCAAACAAGCCAACGGAACCCTGCACCTTCGCTCCCAAATTTTTGAGAGTTGCATGTGATCATTGACATGGAAGCTTGTTGAGCACATCGGCATCCCCTGTGGCTGGCATTACAATGCCGCAGGATCCATGATAAAGCTTCAACGAGCTTGATGCTTATGGTCGTGGGGCGACCATGGCAGTCACGGCTACAGCTGCTGACTTATGAGCTTCTGTCGACAGTGCCACTGCTGAGAACAAGCGCGCGAAGAATCAGAGTTTTCACGAAGTTGGGATCAATACTAGTTATCAATTACCAAACAAACATGTGGCACGGGAAAGATGGGAAAGACAAGAACTACGCACGTCGGCAGGATTTGATTTTATGTGGATTCAAAGGTAAGCTGAGGAGCACTGGGAGCAATCAACCGGTGGTAGCAGCCGTGGCAGAAGTAATGATGGCTAGATGACGATCCTTAACGTTCCATGTGGCCAGCAGGCAGCAGCCAGAAAGCACTGCAAAGATGTTGGCAATGTCTACGACAGCAAGCAGGCTTTCGGGATGTTCATGTGAACACCTTGAAGTCTGATGATACAGGTGACAGAATCAACAAGCTGTCCAAAACATGCGATGCTGACAACCTCCCTGCAGCAAAATGACGCATCATGACGCAGCGAGTGCTCGAGCATTGACAGAGGTGAAAAGGTGCAAAACAACGTGTTCTAGCCTGCATAATGAATTGACAGGAATGCCAGCATCAAGGGGGGCATTGCTCTTTTGGTGCGCTGTGACGGCTGCCTCCAGTTGCCTCCTTGCCTGCTCACATGCGACATGCGGTTGCGTGTTGTGTGGGTCAGCTTCAAAACCAGCAGGACGTCCACACCGGACGTCATAAGACCAGGGCATTAACTCAACAGCACAGTAATGAATACGTGCATCACTGGTGAGGAGTCAATATATGGAAAGTCTGTGTTAAATGGCCGGAAAACGAGACCGCATCTAGATAAGTTTAGGTACCTGCGCGAGTTTTTCTACGGAGGTCGTGCGATGTCGCGTGCATCAGAACCGGCCCCGGAGTCCGGTCGGATTTGTGCCGTTTCCGGAACTCAGAGACTCCAATCTGACTTAATCCATTCCTGCATGGTCTCTTGCCTACCGCAGTAACGTGCAGCTGCAAACCAGTATTTGTACATGGGAGTTGCACTGTCGGGGCTCGTGACCGAGATGGATTTGAGCCATACCTGTCCCTGAGCCGTAGCCAACCCTCAAACGCGAAACCCTCAAATGCAAAACCTTAAAGTGTCTAACAGTCTAAGGTACTGACAGTTTATTACGCAACTGGTAACGCCCTGGACAAGTACATGATATGAAAGAAGTACTTGAGTACTTGATGCTTTTACTCATTCAGCGATCAATGTTTACGAAGATAGACGGGATAGCATGTGGTTTTTGGGTGGCATCCGTAGGAACTACACAGCAGGTGTCCAAGTGTGCTGTGTGTAGGCTTCCCAGCTTCCCTCCTTACTGTCGTACCTTCTACTTCCTCCGTCATCCGTCCTTCAGCCTCGCTCTCTTCTTCCTCAAGTGACTTCGCTCGCTCCCTCCCTCCTCCCTCACTATCCCTCACTGTACCTCACTCACTCAATCACACACTCATTCAATCACGCAACCGTACCACTCACACGCGCTCCCTTCACACGCTCACGGACAAGCAACACCTGCACAGAATGCCAATCTCCTTGAGCACCGGCCCGGATGCCCCAGTCGCCGGACTGCTGTCTGGCTTGGCTGCGGAGCCCTTCGCGCTACATCTGTAGCCACCCGGCATTGGAGCAGCTTCCAGATGCCTCGGACAACTGTGCGTGTGGTGGCTGCTGCAGAGCACCGACGGATGTCAACTTGCGCAGGCCTGTATGCCACAGTCACCGGCTCGGCACCAGCTGTCGCGGCATCATCAAACTGCACCCGCATGTTCCTGGCAAAAATGCGAAATACCTTGCACGGAAATATAAAATCAACAGCACATGCACTCTATCAAAGCCGAGTGCCTGCCCTCTGCATTGTTTTCAACCTTGGTGAATTTCGACTGGTGCCCAGCACGCCCAGAAAGCAAACGGAGTGAGCCGAACTGAGGTTTGAAGTGCAACAGCTCTAGCACTGGCAAGGCATGGCAAAGCCTGAGCTGCCTGCGACGGTGCCCTCCATGCCTCCGTGAAACCTGGACTCTGCTAGCTTGTCACATGACGCTTTCTTCGCACTGGCTGTTGAGTCCTTGAGCTCAGGCGTAAGCTTCTCGAAGTTCCGGCCACCGAGCACTCGGACACGCTCACCGGTTTCAAGTCCGGCGAGTTCTGCCATCGGGAAGGGTTTACCTGCGAAAGAAATGCGAAACCGAGTTACCATTGAACCCCACGACTGCGAAGTTGCTTAGAGGCTTAGTGCATCCGTCCTCCCGGGTTGTGCGGCGATTCACGCTTGGAGAGTTGGAGTCGGTCAGCAGCCGGCACGGCACAAGGATGGCTGGTTGATGCTGGTTGCTTAGGTAGCCGAAGTTGCCCTCGGCCGATGAACTAAAGGGGTCTGAACACACCAGTGTTGTTCGAGTCGGGGAGGTTCTAGTCCTGCACCAAGCGGATCCAGCTCGGTTGTTGCGCAGTATGTTCGCCTCTTCCGTAGGTGAGCGACTGCTTCAGCTTTTTGCATCTGGGCTCCGTTTCTCTTGCCTAAATGTGGTCTACACCTCACTACACAAGTACGCAGGCGTAATGACGTTGAGATACATAGAGGGGTAGATAAGGATACATACATAGATATAGATAGATAGGTAGATAGATAGATAGATGGATAGATAGATACATAGATAGATAGATACAGAGATACGTAGATAGATAGATAGATAGATAGATAGATAGACAGGCAAGTAGATAGATAGATAGATAGCTAGCTAGATAAATAGATAAACAGACAGATAGATAGACAGACAGATAGATGGATTCAGATAGATAAACAGATAGCTAGATAGATAGATAGATAGATAGATAGACAAACAGATAGGCAGATGGGCAGACAAACAGATAGATAGATAAGTAAATAGATAGAAGGGTAGATAACCAAATAGATACATCGAAACATCCATCGATCGATAGATAGACAGATAAGATAGGATAAGATAGGATAAGGTAAGATAAGTTAAGATAGCTAAATAAATAGACGGGTAGGTAGGTAGGTAGGTAGGTAGGTAGGTAGGTAGGTAGGTAGGTAGGTAGGTAGGTAGGTAGGTAGGTACGTAGGTACGTAGGT